TCTTCTTCTTCTTCCCTCCCTCCCTCCCTCCCTCCCTCCCTCCCTCCTTCCCTGTCTCTCTCTTTCTTTCTCTCTCTCATATCTGTCTGTTTCCTCCCTGTCTCTCTTTCTCAACCTCTGTCTCTCTCTTTCTCTCTTTCTCTCCCATCTCTGTTTCCTCCCTGTCTCTCTCCCTCTCTCTGTGTCTTTCTCTTTCCCTCACTCTCTCTCCTCTCTGTCTTTTTCCCTTCCTCCCTTCCTCTCTCTGTGTCTCTCTTTCTCTCCTTCCCTCTCCCTGTCTCTTTCCTCCCTGTCTGTCTGTCTGTCTGTCTCTCTCTCTCTCTCTCTTTGGTTTTTGTTTCCAGGCCCTTGTACCCTTTTGAAGTGGAAAGCCGCGTGAAAGTCAACTGTTGCCAGCAGTATTTATCCCTCCAAATCAACGCTTAATCACTAATTAATTTTTTTATACAACAGGAGTTTTAAACTTATTACCAAACGACGGTTGGCAAGAAATGAGGGGCGACCTTAAGCCTCGAAACATTCAATCAGAAGCATTAGGGACCGTAATTTCTTCTTGTCGCTCTGCTTAAAAAAAAAAATTACAACACCCATTTGAACTATTTTGTCCTAATTCTATTTGGAGGGTTTCCTAAGTGGAAATCCAGGCTCAGGCATTCACGATTGAAGAGACCGATCAGATCCTTTGTCTTATTTTCTGAACAGCACTTGTCTTGTTTCAGCACCTTGGACAGCTCCCACTTCCTTTCCAAAGCTGGAACAGCCCCCCAAAATCTCATCCCAGTGGCTTCCCTCTGCCCCCCCCACCCCAAAATTGGAGCTTATCTATTGGGTACACACTGCTTGTTTCTACCTGTCAGCCACGGGTGTTGCAAAACATTTTAAAAAATCTAATTGAAACCTTGGCAGTTTTCCCACTGCGAGTATTATGTATACCTCCAGCTGAGTTTGACTGTGGGAGAGAAATTTCCTTCCCCCCCTTTGGTCCAATATCCTAAAGGCTAAAAATGTGCCTCCTAATTCCCATTCTTCATTTTTCTGCACGTTTCATTTTCATTGAGGTTCTATAATTCTCCTTTATTAAAAACCCTCCCCCTTCCAAAAATACTTTTGCAATCCCCAAACAAGAATAATTCCGAATTACCCCCATAATTGCAGAGGCAAAACTAATTGTGCTACCCTCTTACCCTTTGAGACTTCTGGTCTTTGTACAGTTCTGGAGACCTTATGCAAACCTTCATCTGATTTGACATTTTCCTCTTGTGCCTAATGTGGAAAGAATTGAACAGGGGGGAAAAAAACATCTGGGAACAGCTAATCAAATATAGGCTCGTTACTCAACACTGTGATTGCGATTGATTTTTTAGCTGCTTGGTTAAACCAAAGTCATGTCTGAAGTGCATCTAGGTCATAATAATACCTGTGTAATATAAACATGAGACCACCTAATAGTCCATCAAGAGAAAATGTGATTAATTTCACTTTTGGCTTCCTGGACTTCTTGCTTTCCTTCTTTTAGTTCATTCAGTGGGCCCCAAACATTCCGTTCCTAAGCAAAACAGTTGTTATGTGAGGTTTGCCACCTTTTACGACCTTTCTCACTCCATTGTTAAGTGAATCGCTGCAATTGTTAAGTCAGAAACCCGGTTGTTAAGTGAATCAGGCTTTCCCGTTGATTTTCCTGGTCAGAAGGTCATTGTCGTGCTCCTGTTGGACTCTGAGTCCGAGGGGGGAGGTCGAGCAGCTGACAGAGAGTGGGAGTGTGGCTCCGGTGGGTGGGGAGGAAACTGGGGAAGGGCACAGTCTGGCTGGGCATTCAGAGGAAGGCCCACCCCCTCTTCATCCTAGGCCACGCAGGGAGGAATGGAGAAGGGACCAACATGAGTTACGGGGGAGAAAAGGGCCCTGATTCCCTTAATTAGCTGCAGCTGGGAAAACGGGATAAAGAGGTTGTTTGTGCACAGCACCTTGCTGGAAGCAAAGCGTGAAATTATCTTTGTTTGTCAAGTCTTATCTGGGTTCTGGCATCCTCCCCAGTGTGTGTGTTTCGTTATCTTTTGAAGTCTGCAATTCCTTCTCCTGCCCCGTCTCGTTAATTGCTGCAGCTTGTGGTTTGTGTTGGTTTTTATTTATAATTTCTTTGTACTTTGGGTTCGGACTGAATTCCTTCCCTTTAAAAACTGTTCTTGGGAGAGTTTTTTTTTCTCCAGCCGATGATAACTGGACATTGGGGGCCAAGTTGGAGGAATTAAAGGGACTTTACCTACTTTTGTGACTTTGTTGCTTTTGTGCCACGCCCCTTAGGGTCATCACAGTCACAAAAAGGGATCACATGACCCCCAGACCCTCATAAATACAGGTCGGCTGCCAAGCGTCTGAATTTTGATCACGTGACCATGGGGATGCCACAATGGTCATAAGTGTGAAAAATGGTCTTAAATCCCCTTTTTTTCAGCGACATCGTAACTTCAAGCAGTCACTAAGCAAATTGTTATAAGCCAAGGACCATTGCCTACCAACTGGGAAAGAAACCAAGGAGAAACTGCACTTTATATATATATAAATATATATATATAAACTGCTTGTAACGTCTACATTTTGTTTGGCTTCCAGGCTTCTTCTAATCGGAAACGGGTGGAAAACCTCGCCAAGAAGAAACTGGACTCTCTGATCAAGGAATCTAAAATCCGGGACTGCGAAGACCAAAATAATTTTGCCGTCACCACCTTGTCGTCCTCGGGGAAATTGGGGAACAAGCCTGATCTTAAGAAGGTGATTTTTGGGGGGTTAAGTGGGGGCAGAGGGAGCCAATCCGAAAAGCTTCATGATAAAACACGAATAAATCCATACGATAAAAGTTTTTGCAAAAAAAATAATATGATAACGTTTGGTAAAATCTATGTATATATCAAAGCAATATACCACTCAGGCATCAGCACAAAATCTCCAGAACCGTAAAGCCTACAAACTTGAAATTTGGCCCCTATATTCCTCTTGGCTTCTAGGGGCTCACTAAGAAAGGATTTTTCCAAATGACCCTCAGAGCATTTAGAGTATTTCCTATATTATTATTTAGAATATATTATTATTAGAATTTTGCATGGCAGAAACTTCAGTCACCTAGTTACTATCTTTGAAAACATTTATGGAATGCACTTTCGATTTCCAAGCTGCCGCACTGCTCTTTCAACCCCCTTCCCCCCCCCCCCCTCCTTCCCTTTCTGTTTGCAACTCTAAAAAAGACCAGAGAAATATTTTATGAGTTGACAGAATCACTTTCAGTTGATCAGCACTTTCCACCGGGGACCCTGGGACGGGCGGACTTTTCTTTCTTCAAACGAATCCTTGCCAAATTGGCCTTTTTGATCGCTATATTTCTTGACACGCATAACACATACACACCTCTTTTCATCATTTCTCATAAACCTCTTTGGAGCACCGAGGCTCAATATGTAATCAGGGTTAACCCTGACTGATCACCACGGTGGCCTCTTCTTCGGTGAGGAGAAGTTGAGCGTTGAACAGTTAATGAGTTTTTGTGTGTGTCTGTGTGTGTGTCTGTGTGTGTTTTTCCCCTGTAATCATGATAAATATTTACCGCCCACTTAGGTTTCTCATTCGTCTCGCGCGCATGCCATCCAACACAGCGGGGACCACGAGGCGTGGAGAAACCAGCCTCGTTCCTTCCCTCCTAAGCCATTAATATCACTTTCCAACCGGTTGCCCAGGGGACAGATGGCAGCCCCTGGCCAGCTGAGCAAAGGCAGGAGGATAACCAAGCTGGAAAGGATCTTGGAGGTCTTCTAGTCCAACCCCCTCCTCAAGCAAGACACCCTATATTATTCCAGGCAGACAGCTATCCAATCTCTTCGTAGAAGCCTCCAATGATAGAGCACCTGCAACTTCTGGAGACAAACTGTTCCATTAGTTCATTGTTCCGGTAACTGAAAAAGTAGTAGAGCATCTAAATAGAAAATTTGGGAGACAAATGACTCTCCAATCTCTTATTGAAAGCCTCCATCGATGGATCAGCCACCACTTCTGTTCCACTGAGGACCATTCTCGTCCTCCTTCCCCCCACTTTTCATTCTACCTTTCCCTGTAATGAGGTTTTGATTTGGTCTCTCCTTTCCCCGGTCCCCACCATTCATCCTCTGTTCCTCCTGCCTTTTCCAGCTCTATGGAAGAAATAAACACATACAGTATTGACAGGCATTTTGAAATCAAAGCAAGAGTGGGGTGGCCTTTTTCACAGCCGGGGGTTTTTTTATTCGCTTTCTGGCTTTAAATGGGTTTATTAATGATTTCTGCCTTTCATAGCTGAGCGCACACCGTTAATGAGGGAAGCAGGTGAGTGAAATTTGTCAGGGGCCAACAGCGAGGTGGGGAACAACGCAAGAAACGCACAGGTGGTTTACACTCCCTTTTTGGAATCTTCTTTGCCCTTTAAAAAAAAAAAAAGTTTTTCATAACTCCAAGGTTTGATAAAGAAGGCTCCCCCCCACTTTCTCCAACTCCTTGTATATTAATTTCAAAATAATTGCTGGATTTCTTACACCCTCAGAAAGACGAAGGCTTGACAACTATGATTATCAGCGGTGCCTTTTCCCTCCCCCCCCCTCTCCTAAGGGCCCTTTTAATCAGGGGCTGGGGCCGCTAGAAAAGCAGTCCTACTTAAAATGCTTCCCAAAGGGTTTCCTGACACATTGGACGAAGGGTTGGAGAGGATGAGAGAGCTGAAAAAAAAATGTGGACGAGAACCCAGGAATCGGACAACGCAAGCCCACCCACCCCCTCCTGGCTGCCTTAAATGTGCTACACGTGAGCACAAAATTCATTGTTCACTGTAGCTCTTAAGAGAGGGAGGGAGGGAGAGAGAGAGAGGGAGAGACCGACAAAAATCCAGCTGCCAAAAATGTGTATATTGTGAGAGAGGGAGAGAGAGAGAGGGAAGAAGAGAGAGAGAGAGAGAGAGAGAGAAATGCAGCTGCCCAAAATGTGTGTATTGTGAGAGAGGGAAGAAGAGAGAGAGAGAGAGAGAGAGAGAAATGCAGCTGCCCAAAATGTGTGTATTGTGAGAGAGGGAGGGAGGGAGAGGGAGGGAGGAAGAGAGAGAGAGCCACAAAATATCCAGCTGCCAAATTTTGGGGGGGAAACTGACTGAACTTGTGACTGTTTTAAAAATTACTTGAGGAAAGCAAAGGGATTAAAGGGGACAAGAGGAAAATTAAGTTTCTTGAGTTGCATTCCTTTCCATTCCTCTTCCTCTTCTATTCTAAGAAGGTGTGAGGCATTTTTCTTCTCCATCTCTCCTTTGCAAGTTTGGCCTTACCCAAAAAAAAAACCCTAAAACCTTTTGATGTTTGAGCCTTGCTGTTGTCCTTTTTGTCCCCGTAGAACAAGCACGAGGAGAACCCGGAATCCGGTGAAGACCCGATCCTGAGCAAACGTCACAACCGATCCCTGATGGGAAGCCTGACCAAACGCAAGGTTACTCATTTGTTTCTCGGAAGGAGGGTCTAGAATAATTTTTGGGATTGCCAGGGGCGATCGGACACACAAGGGATTCGTCTCCGGCGCATAAGCTCACAATGTACATCTCAACAACAGCAAATCATAGGTCTTAATCATAGTTACAATCATTAATCCTAAGTTAGAAACAACAATTGATGGATTTTCTCCCATGCCATCCCTCTGCTAAACCACTAATTCCCACAACACTGTCAAACTATCTATTAAGGCTGCATTCCTATTATTCTTCACATCTTTCCTATTACCTGTATCTCCTGATCTTTTTATGATATGATTTATATTGTTTTATTTAGTACCCTAGAATGATTTATGTTGTTGCTTACTAGTATTCTGTGACCATCAGTAAGTGTTGTAGCTCATGATTTATGATGAATGTATTTTTTTCCTTGTGTGTCCAATCACACTTGGCCAATAAACAATTCTCTATTCTATTCTGCACTCTATTTTATTCTGCATTTTATTCCATTCTATTCTATTCTGCATTCTATTCTATTCTGCATTTTATTCTATTCTGTATTCTATTCTGCATTTTATTCTATTTTCTATTCTATTCTGCATTCTATTCTATTTGCATTCTATTCTGCATTTTATTCTATTTTCTATTCTATTCTACATTCTATTCTATTCTATTCTATTCTATTCTATTCTATTCTATTCTATTCTATTCCATTCCATTCCATTCCATTCCATTCCATTCCATTCTTATTTTACTCATAAGAAACCAGTAGGACAAGAGAACAGGGAAGATGAGAAATGAGACAATGCTATGGCAATGGGAATGAGGGAAATCTTTATATCTGATTGTTTTGGCATGCAATGCCCCATAGCGGTGTCCTGGGGGAAGAAGTTGAAATAGCTTATGTCCAGGATGTGAGGGCTCTGAAGATATTTTCTCAGCCCTTTTACTGGCTCAAGCAGTGCACAAGTCCTCAGTGGAAAGCAGGCTGCTTGCAGTTATTTTTTCCCCCACAGTCCTAACTGTCTGTTGAAGTCTGTTGCCTGCCTTGTTCGGTTGCTGCGCCAAACCAGACAGTGATCGAGGCACAAAAGACAGGCTCGTGTTTTTTTTTTTTTTTAATTTACTTGTATTCTGTTTTTCTTCCCCTAGTGGGGATTAATTTTGACCCTGCAAACGGTCCATTGTTAATTTCGGTTTCATCCCACCCCTTAGCTAGGGTAATGTTTCAAAACCGCAAGCTGGAGAAAATTAGGACGGAACAAAGCACTTCGCCAGGAAACCCATAAACACACAACTTTTAGAGGCTCGTACAGTGTCTCTGATTTGATTCTGTGCGGAAGTCGCCGCGGGCGTGAGTTCTAACCACCAGGGCCACAAAGCAAGATCAGAACAAATCCCCCCCCCTTTTTTTATTTTGCAAAACCGAAGGCAGACGGAGAGGAGGCAAGCTACTCCAAAGAGGAGGTTATACGTATACACGTCAAGTCCAAACCGTATTGCTTTATGTCTGTATACTAGCTTGATACCCAATTATCTCACCTTCGTGGTAACAGGTAAACTGAGGTGTGTTTTCTTCCCCAACCCAGAAAAAATCCAGCAAACTCAAAAGGACGCCGAGTTTGGAAGACAGGGAAGACGACTTCGAATGCCAAGGGAACTTAAGTAGAACTTCGGTTCATTATAGCAAGTAAGTCTCCATGGTTTCAGAAAATAAATAAATAAATAAATACTGACTGACATCATTACATGCAAGTCATTCTCAACACACAACTGCAATCGAGCCCCCAAATCACTGATGCTCAGCAAGGCAGTCGCTAAGTGAATTTTGTCCCATTTTTTACAAATCTTTTTTTGCCACGGTTGTTAAAGAAGGTCACTGCAGTCGTTAAGTTAGTTGCACGGTCGTTAAGTGGATCTGGCTCCCCCCCCCTTAAATTTTGTCGCAAAAGGCGATCACATACCCTCCCTGGGATACTGCAAGCGTCATAAGTACGAGTCAGTTGCCAAGCCTCTGAATTTTTATCACTTGACCGCAGGGAGGCTGCAGCAGTTGTAAGTGTGAAAAACGGTCCTAAGTCCCCCCCTTTTTTTTTCAGTGACGTCGTAACTTCAAAACGGCCACTAAGTGAACTGTCGTAAGTTGAGGACTGCCTATATCTAATGGATTCAGTTCAGCTGCTGTTTAGACCTTAGAATAACTTTATTGTCACTTTGGTTCTTTCCTGTCTCCAAAACTGTAAAATCTTGAACTTAAACTGTGTATAACTTTAATATAAAACCCCTGGCATGGATTCTTGGTTTGGTAAGGTGGAAATTTCACCTCGGCCTTTACTCCTCCCTGCGAAATTCCAAACTCTTTGTCGGTTTCTTACTGTCTCCCCGCCACCCTGTCCGATGGATAAATCCATTTCGATTTGAATCCATTTCAACAATTTGTTACTGTTCTGACCCAGCTCCCCAAACAGGACAAACCCCTCTGTAGTTAAATGAATGATTCCTTTATTAAAAGCGCCAGGAGCCCCGGCAAAAAAAATCTCCCTCACACCACACTCCCCAGAGCTAGGATAGGGCTTCACTAGCAGCAGTGGCTCTTCCGTCCCAAGGACCGGCCCATAGATTTCCACTGCCCTCCTCTCCTCTGGTTTTTTTGTGCATCTGTGCGTCAGGACTAGACCCGGCTGTTCTTCCTTTTCCTCATCAGTCATCTCCAGACCTGGGGGCTGTTGATTCTCCATCTGAAGGCTGACGGACAGCCCAGGCTCCGTCTCTCTCTCTCTCTCTTGCCAGCTCCATTCCCTCTTCCCCCTCGGAGCTCTCGGGTTGCCTTGAGGCTGACCCTGGCTCCCACGCCTTCTCCGACTCCTCTGATTTGGCTGCTGAAGGGGCCGAGAGGCCACGACAGTTACCTCGTTGTCGTTTTTTTGTCCTCCCAGAACAAATCGGCAAAAGAAAACGATGAAACTCTCCCGGGCTCTCTCCGATCTGGTGAAATACACAAGATCCGTCGGAATCCACGACGTGGAATCGGAAAGTAAGTTTGCCCCACCGTCTTTAAAAGAATGAGCGTTCCGGCAGTCTTCCTCTCGAAGCTGGCTTGTGTGTTTCTCACCCAGTGAAATGGCTTAAGTCAAAGCTGTTTGGGTTGGCCAATCAGGGAGGGCTGTTGCAGAGAAGGCGGGGGGGGGGGGGGTCAAGCTCTTCCCCAAAGCCCCTCAAGGCAGGACAAGAAGCAACGGATGGAAACTAATCAAGGAGAGAAGCAACCTAGAACTAAGGAGGAATTTCCTGACAGTCAGAACAGTTAATCAATTGTCTCCAGAGGTTGTGATTGCTCCAATGCATGTAGGTTTTCAAGAAAAGATGGGACAACCATTTGTCCAGAATAGTCTACGGCCATGATGGTGAACCTATGGCACGTGTGCCACAGGTGGCGTGCAGAGCCATTTGCTCCGACACGCGAGCTGCAGGCAAACTTACCTCATTGCACACGCG